AAGAGCGTTGGACTGTATGAGATTTCTCACCAGAAAAGCGTGCAATTGAAAAACGAATTGTTTATTTCTGGAATTCTCCATTTAATATTTTGGACTGCTGTTGACTATGGGTAACTGAAACCATGAAAAGCGAAACCGCAGGTGTGGGGGACAGCTCTACTAATCCTTTCCCTCTGACTGCGGACATGCACAAATACTGCTTTGTTTTTAAAAAGGAAGAAAAAAACTCCACAGATTTCTAGTAGTTCTTGCTAGCACGCCACCTCCCACCTTGCTCTCCCACATCCATTTCCTTTCTGAATCTGCCTTGCCTCTGCCATCTTGTTTCAGTCCTCACTGGCCTATCAAAATCATACTTCTGAAGTAAACCTACACTTCCACGTTTCCTGACCCTTTGTGTTTCATTCCTTTGTGCGGCTGGCCATCCTCTCCTTGAAATTCTTCTGTGACTCTCTGGACCTCAGGCCCCCATGGCACTTTATCCCAGACTCCCTGCCTCTCATTTTCACTTTAGCTTGTTTTCTTCTTGCTCCTAATCGATTGTGTGGTTTACACAATCATGTGGTTCAGTCTATAGTATTTAGCTATATTTTCTTTGTCCCCCTCACCCCTACACATACAAAGAGGTTATCCCCAGCAGCCACCACTTCATTGATGGCACTGAGGTTCATATCACCATATGTAAACTTTTTCTTTTCATATTTCCTTTTCATTTTTCTTTCCATATTTCCTTTTTCTTGAGCTCTGATCTTACTTCTCTGGGTTCTACTAGAGGTTTCCACCTGGAGACCATGTCTTCTCTGTCTCTATATATTTTGAATAGTCGAAGGGTAGGTGTGCTCAGCAGAGAGATGGAGGGAGAGGAGAAGCACCCATGATAGGACGTGGCCATGCCACAATCCCGTCTCCCTGTCTCTCCATCCTTTTGTGATGTTGGACACACACACACACACTCAGCGTGTTTTTCAATCCAGTAAGGTCAGGATTCAAGCTGTGTTTCGTGTGTGATCTGGCTCCCTTAGCCACTAGGCTACAGGGACAGCCCCTTCATGTCTTCTCCAACTGAATACGTCCAAAGCCTCCTTGTCTCATTCATGACATCTCCATTCTTCCTTCCGTCACCCATCCTGGACTCTACGGCAGAACAACTGACTTCCCTCTCATTGCCTTCACTTTAAGGGGAGCTTACTGATAAGTCCTGTTCGATCTTCCCCACGTGCTGGTGATCCTCTTCCCTCTTCCCTGCTATCGTGATCAACCCGTCCAGACCCAGTGCTTCTCTGACTAGATTTTCCAACCTGCATCCGGCATATGATTTTCCTAGACTAAGATACCCACTCACCGCTCAATGGCATTCTCTCACTAAATGCCTTTGTTGGCTCCCTGTTTCTGACAAAGTCAAACCAAAACTTGACTCGTCCACAGTCTTTTTGACACATAACCCTACCCTTTCTTAGCCATATTTTCATTACAACTCCAAATATCCTCCTGTTGTGTCCAGACTGGTTCTCTTGCTTTCTCATGGCCTGATAGAGAACTAACTCCTTACATGGGCACGGACTGGTGTCTTCCATAAAACCTCTCTTGAACAAACGACCTTTCACTAGTCTCGCTCTTTTGAGTCTTTGTACTAATGCATACCACACGTTTTGTATTTAGTTATGTGTCTAACTGTACAACTTGTCACATCAACTCTAATAGTAGGAATTTGAGGGCAGAGATATGGCTGTGGTTTTCTGCAGTGTCAAGTCCAGCCTGGAGCATGTGGCCAGTAAGTACAAACTGATAAATCTATCTCCTTGGGATGTATTTTGATGGCAAAACATGTAGTCACTGATTTGCATCCTGAGATGAACTACATGAGCAAAGGATACTTAAATACTTATTTTTCTAAAATACAATACACTTGTTATTTTGGGATCAATGTATGCTAATGTGTGTCAGCAAGTGGGGTGCGTTTCCTGGACCGCCCTCTTTGCAGAGCCCCTCTGCAGGCTCCATGGACCTCAGACATGCTTTATTTCCTCGTGCGCTCTCAGCCACGGCAGTAGAAGTGCAGAAGTGGCCACTTTGGCTGTAGCCGAGGGTACCAAGGCACGGACAGTGCAGTGTTGAAGCTCTCGTTCAGTCCTAAGTGATTTGTTCTCATCTAGAGCGATGTCACTGCCGAACGTGCCAAACTAAAGGGAATTCACTTCCAGTTTTCTGCCCTGGTTGTCCCAGAGGTCACTGGGAAGTAATGATTTGGAACTCAGGCATGACCCCTGCTGTCTAGTTTTCTAAGATTTGTGCCTCTACAAGTATTACCAACATCCTTCCCCATGTGGAATACACTATAGAAGCCATTACCGTCTGTTAGGTTGTACAAGATGGCACTGGCTCCCGGCTCTAATATGCAGCTCTCCAGCGTCGGGCAGTGGATGTGAAGGCAGTTGACGTTGTCATGAATAGGATCGTGGTAGAAGACGGCCACGTTACAGGAAACTGAAAGGGAAACAGGCCAAGGACAGCTGCAGAGGGATGATTTCCACCACCGAGGAGCTCGGAGGAACCTCTGCTTCCTTCAGAAACATCGATTGTGTATTGCAGTAGATGGCAGGCCTATGGTCAGGCACTTTATAGAACATCATGAATGTTTGTAACTGCTTCTATGACTATGGAAAATTTAAAAAAAAGAAAATATCGGAGCTGACAGGTGGCACGGTAGTTAAGGTGCTGGACTCACACAACCCACTGATTTGAGTTCCAGACCTGGTGACTCGCTTTCTCAGTTTCCCTTTCTTTCTGTCTGTCTTTCTCTGGTCAAATCGTCATCATCATCATCATTAATAAGTAAAATTAAATAATTCTTTAAAACAAAAAAGAAAATACCTATTGATTTTTCTCTAACTTTTAATTGATTTCATTCGCACAGGCTATTTGGAATTATTTTCTAGTCCCAGTATTTTATGTTCATAAAAAAATTCAAATGACTACAGAATCCTGTGGAGATTTATATACCAGATTTCTAGGCGCAGTGCTCTTTCGGAATGCTAAGGTGCTGGGGGTCACCAGGAAAAGAAATAGGAAGATCAGGAGCCAAATGCTATAGCAGAGGAGGGAAGAGTAATGGGAAGGGCAGGAGGTGTAGAGACTGCATTGCAGGGAGAGACACCGCTAGGGGAAAGGAGCGGGCCAAGTGAGCCATCCCCTTCCCCGACTGTAGGTGTGCGCCACCCCACATGCAAAACCGCATCTTACAGAAAAGTCTCTTCAATGTCATATAAAGAGTTGGAGTGGATTGGATTGGTGAGTTGGTGAGGATTTCTTTTTAAGAGAGAGATTTTTGCTCTAGGGTACTTGGAATCACCAGGGACAGAGAGACAGAAAGTGAGAAATCACCCCCGGGGGGCTTGCCTCTCTGCAATCCCTTCTCCTCTATTCTCCTCTGGTTTTTTTTTTTTTTTTTTGGGGGGGGAGGTTTTTGCTATAGGGCGCGTGCGCTCGCCAGGCAGAGAGAGACAGAGAGACAGAAAGCGAGAAATCACCCCCCAGGGGGGATGGCCACGCCGCAATCCCTTCTCCTCCATGCTCCTCTCGGGATCTTGGGCACGCACGCACAGGCGCCCAGCGTGAGTTTAAGCCACCGAGTCCGGGACTCGAACCGCGGTCGACTACGTGGGAGTCCAGCGACATAGCCATTATGCTAACTGCTGGTCCCTCCTCTTGTGATTTTGGGCACACACATCCATAGAATTCTAGTGGCCGGGTATACCACCTGCTTGTGCTCTCTCCCCTTTTCTAAGCAAATTTGTGTCTTAAAAATCTTGTGTGATCTGGAAAACATGAAGTCAGATTTGTCAAGTGCCGATCTTCAATCTGTTTTTCCTATAGCACAAAGCAGATTGCCTCCCCTGCAGGGCCATAGGAACCACGTGACGTGAAGATCCAGGGGCCTAAGGTATCAGCTTCTTTAATAACGTCAGATCAGAGGCTGGTGTGTGGTTGCCAGGCCTCAGCGCCTGCCTAAGGCTGCCCTGGGATTGCGGCTGGCAGCACCTGGCCTGCCTCCGTGTCAGGTACCCTGGGAAAGTTATGTCTCCACCATTACTTCTGGGATACGCTCATGTTTCTGCACTTTTTATTTTTCCAGAAGGAGAAAAAAAAAGGACAAAAGTTAATTATTGATACATTGATGATCTATTATAGATTACAAATACACTCCTCGAGTACTGTCCTGTCAAGTTTAAGAGAAAGGAATGAAAATTTAAAATATTCAAATTTAAGACATTGAAATTATTTTTTAAAATTATTTAATTTTATTTATTATTGTTATTATTTTTCTAATTTCCTATCAGGTAAACGTGCTCACCAGAGATAAACCAGAGAGAGAAGAAAAGTGAGAAAGCAAGCCTCCAAGTCTAGGACTTGAACCATGGTTGGCTGTGTGGGGATCCAGTGCCTTAACCATCACACTACCTGCTGGCCCCAAGAAATTTTAATTTCTAATAAGAAAGTGGTTGGTGCTGCAGAAAATAATTTAAAAAGATGTTTTCCATTCTTTGTACACATTTGAGAGTTGCATCTCTGAGCGAGAGTGTGGCGTTTCCAAGTTCTGCCTTCTAGCTAAACCTGGAATGGGAGGCGAGGGGGTGGCACAGCAGGAACGCAGGACCCGCATGGGAAAGGGGCCGGGTGAGCATCCGAGGGCTTCCCTGAGCATGGCAGACCTGTGGATGTGTGCTGGGGCCAGCTGAGGTTAAGGGTGGGCCAGACCATAGAGACCTCGTTGGGGTTGCTTGTCCCTCTGTCTCTCTTGTGGAAGAAACAAACAAATAAAAATAATAAAAACTGGAATGTTCCATCCTGCCCTTTCTTGTTCTGAGGGAAGGAAAGGTACAACCTGGAAGCTGCAGAAACTCTAATATCATGGAATTGTCCTGGGTGATTGCAGTGTCCCTGAAAGTCCCGTTTCCCCGCTGTGAACTGTCTGGTAAATCCATGCTATGAGAAAATTTAGGAAAGGTACTCCCCCTCCCACACCCCCTCAGGGAAGGCTTACGGAGTTAGGAGCATGTAGATGGTGGCAATCTGGATTGGCTATCTTTTCAAAAATATTTCTGTTCATTAAATGATTGCTCTCTTTGTGCTTGATTAACTTTCAAGGGCTTGGCCCGGGACAGCTTCTCTCTACAGACTCTGGACCGTGTTTCCACAGCCATGTAGCTGCAGTTTCCATCTCAGAACTCTTTAGTGCACAGTTGGGTGAGGCATCAGCAATTAATAAGCTGGTATGAAACTATGGAAAGAAACCAACTTAGAGAAGTATTTTAAGTGCTGTGTTACTTTTGTTGCTCTCCAAGTAGCTTTAAAATGTTTGGGAGACTAAAAAAGCAATGAAAGAAATCTTTAGGCAGTTGTTACGTGAAATGTTCCTAACTCCACACTTTGCTCATGTTATAAAGATGGTGTTTACACTCAGATTCCACATTACAGACAAAAATTTGTAAGAAAGTAGGGAAAATTTTTTCCATGTCATATATATATCTCCCTATTTCTTTTAAAACATGAATCTCACTCAGAATTCCTGTTCAGTACATTCAACATTTGATCAGCCCAAGCGAGCACATTTCAAAAAAAAATTTTTTTTGTAAGGGTTTTTTACTATAGGGCGCGTGTGCTCACCAGAAAGACAGAGAGAAAGAGAGATAGAAAGCAAGAAATCATCCCCCCAGGGGGGATGGCCACGCCACAATCCCTACTCCGTCATTCTCCTCTTGGGATCCTGGGCACACACGCACACGTGCCTGGTGTGAGTTTAAGCCACTGGTCCAGGAGTTGAACTGCAGTTGACTACATGGGAGTTCAGCGACATAGCCATTATGCTAACTGCTGGTCCCGCACATTTCAGAAATTTAACATGACACTAGTATCACCAACATGTACTTTGAAAAGGAAATGGTTATCAACATTTAAAAAATCATATATGTTATATTAATATTTCGGGCTACAAAAATATTGTTAAGTAACCCTGCAGGAAATATTTTTACTTTACTTAGCACTTTGGTGAAGAAAAGAGGAGTTTTGGTTTCCTCTTGGTTCTCTAGCGTTCTAGGACAGTCCTAGGTTTGCAGGCAGCCCAGAGGGCCTGCTCAGTCTCAACGCTTTCCCTGTCTGCACTTCTCTTTCCCCGATCCTCAGGCATCTTCTCTCATCTTTGCCCCTGTTTACCTGGCCTTCAACCTAGTGTTCCTTACTTAGGTCTTTATTCTTGGAAGTCAGCCCCCCCCCTTTTAAAAAGAATTGTTTTTTAATTATATTTATTATTTTAAAATTGGATGAGAGAGACAGAGAGGGCAAGAGAGAAAGTGAGAAAGAAGCCACCAGGTCCAGGACTCAAACCATGGTTGGCCATGTGGGAGTCCAGCACCTTAACCACCATGTCACCTGACCACCCTTGCTCAAACATATCATTAATACTTACCATCTTTCCTAAGGCAGCAGCTCCTACTGCACTTCTGGCCGGTGCTTTCAGAGTAATATTTCAAGAACTGGGCTCCTAGCTTCTGAGACTCCTCCAGGTCAATTAGAAGACCTGGGAAGCGACGAATCCAGCAACCTCTGTAAAAGACTGTGGGAGAGCAGAGAGAGTCTGATGTCCACACCATACTTAGGAGCAATACCACTTCTGCTGTCACCACTGCCACACGCATTTCTCTGGTATGACGGAAGGCTTGGAGAAAGTCTGATTTCCAGACAGAAGCCAGAGCTGACCATCAAGGCTCAGGACAATCTCTGGGACTTCGAAGTGGATTCTATGGGTGAGTTTCCTTGGGACTTTTCTGGAGGCCCATTTACAAAAAGGAGGCCATTCTTTGATGGCATATTGCTTTTACTCTTGTTTCTTCAGTTTGAGCCCCAGATGAACGTGGGACTTGCTGATATTCTTTCTGAACACCTCCCAGGCTATTAGAATGCTGTGTCCCTTAGCCTCTTGGAGATGTGGCTTTTTTCCTCTGCTTTTCTTCTTTCTCTGAAAGTGAATAGTTGCAGACACCTTTTACTCAGTAAATACAAAGACGAGTGGAAATCCTAGTCAAGCGTCTTTCTGAGGAAAACAATAATTTAGTCACTTGACGTCAGATAAAGGAAGGATTTGTTTCACCAGGAACAAGACATCGTTTTGTGAGAGCACTTCTGTGTGCTTTTTAAGGAACCTGTGACTACAGATTTTTTTTTTTTAATCCTCTCTTTGAATTTAGGTTCATTAGAAAACCAGTTTGCACACTGGCTTAAGTTTTTACTAAATTAAAAAGTAAGTAAAAACTCAATTGGAGTAAAATTTAAAATTTTAATTTGCAGTGATTGTTAAAACATTGACTATAGGTCCTGGTCACTTCTTGGGGGCAGCTATGTTTCATAAAGGCCTGTCACAAGCATTCTTCTTCTTTTTTTTTTATCATTTTTTTTCTTTTATGTGGAGAAGTTTTTGCTGTAGGGCGTGTGTGCTCGCCAGAAGGCCAGAAAGAAAGCCAGAAGCCACCCCCAGGGGGGATGGCCACGCTGCAATCCCTTCTCCTCCATTCTCCTCTCGGGATCTTGGGCACACACGCACATGTGCCTGGCGTGAGTTTAAGCCGCCAGTCTAGGATTTGAATCGTGGTCAACTACATGGGAGTCCAGTGACATAGCCATTACACCAACTGCTGGTTCCACGAGCATTCTTCTTAAAAGAAGATCAAAGATTCCAGCAAAAAAACATGCTCACAATGTGAATGGAATACAACCACCACTAAGACGAATACTGTTCAACCAAGAATAAAAAATGTATTGGGTTGTCAGAAAAGCCATGATGCATTTTTGCATATAAAAACATAGAAAAAAATCATGACATTTCCAAAAACCTAGTAATTTATAGTGTTGTGGAATGGGTTCAAGTTGGGGATTGTGTAATCTATTTTCTTTTTCTTCTTTTTTTTTAGAGGGAGATTTTTGCTATAGGGCATGTGCACTTGCTGGAGAGACAGACAGAGACAGAAAGCAGGCAGTCATCCCCCCACCCCCAAGGGGGGTTGGCCAAGCTGCAATCCCTTCCCCATTCTCCTCTCTGGATTTTGGACACTCATGCACATGCACATGCACATGCACATGGTGTGAATTTTAAGCCGTCGGGTCTGGGACTCGAACAGTGGTTGACTATGTGGAAGTCCAGCAACATAACATTAATGCCATCTGCTGGGCCCTGTGTAATCTATTTTCTGGTGTTCATGTTTGACGTTATAAAGGAGACTGCGAAGTACATACATAAAGGCATAGTATCTCTGATTAAAACAGTAGTTGCTGGGGCTGGCAGATGGTGTGGTGGTTGGGATGCTAGACTCCCACATGGCTGACCATGGTTTGAATCCTGGACCTGGAGGCTTGCTTTCTCGCTTTCCCTTTCTCTCTCTTGCTGTCAAATTAAATAATAATAATAATAATAATAATAATAATAATAATAGTAATTGGGACCAGCAGTTAGCGTAATGACTATGTTGCTGGACTCCCATGTAGTCGACCGCAGTTCGTATCCTGGACCCGGTGGCTTGAAACTCACGCCAGGCACGTGTGCGTGCATGCCCAAGATCCCGAGAGGAGAACGGAGAAGGGATTGCAGCGTGGCCAGCCCCCTGGGGGATGATTTCTCGCTTTCTGTCTCTCTGTCTATCTCTGTCTGTCTGGCAAGTACATGCGCCCTATAGCAAAAACCTCTCAAAAAAAAAATGGAATTAAATAAATAAGTCTTTAAAAAAGCAGTAGTTGCTAAGAAATATGCATGAGTTCTGTATTCAGTGATGAGCCTGACTGCAAATTAGTTCAAAGCCTCAAATTGCTACTTTTTTGTATTTATTTTTATAGAAGCCCAAGTGATAATCGGCTTTTTAAAGTACTATACTACTTCTTTAAAAAAAGAAAAACTTTTTCTAACTTGAGATCTGTGTTTCTTTTATATCTTTTTGCACAACTCATTTACTTACTTGACCCCAAAATATTAACAATCTTTGCACTTTCATCTCTCCAAATGTTTCCTAATAACAGGTAGCCTGTTTATCACATATCTGTTGATCTTTAGAAACATATAATACCAATAATCAATAATGAAGAGAGAAATATTTGAGACAGAATAACATTAAAAAGCATTTCACTTTCCTCTGAGTAAAAATGATCATGCACTAACTCCTAGCCTTGTTTAAGCCACCTAAAACATACTAAAAAGGGTAAATATTTCATCCTAATAAATTTCTTATAGAAAGCAAGTTTCAGTCGCTTACCTGCAGTCAGACTGTTCCATGTGTTCTGAGGGGAGAGGGAGGAGAGGTTTTTAATGCCAAAGCCATGAGTAAACGAGTCACCAAAAATGACTGCTTGTTTTCCCCGAGACGCTCTAGCTATTTCTATTAAGAAATGCCCTCAGAATGTGAGCTACCAAGTCCAATTTCTACCTTTCTGACATCCACCTCTTTCAGTCACATTTAATGTAGTTTCTTTTGTGTGGTATGTAATTCTTTGAAGTTGTCAGGTTCCCTGCAGGGATAATGGAACAATCCACAATTATTTAACCCTTTGCTGGCAAATGATATTCAGACAGAGATGAAAGTTTCATTTCAAAGGATCCGCCAGTCCTTGCTTTACAATTTTCAAATCACCACCTTTTTTTTTTTTTTTTTTTTTTTTTTTGTGGTGATGGCATAAACATTAAGTCTGGAAATGGGTCACTTCTTGGGACCAAATATTTTGAAAAGGGAAGATACAGGCGGGATTGCAGGAGCAGAGGGAGGAAGCCCCAGCCTCATGTGTGTCCATGTGAAATGAAATTACCGAAGCAAGGAAGCAATGGCAACTTGGAGCCAAAAGTTGGTATGTAGCGTTTGTTGTGAATCCTATCAACCACCCAGAACCATTACACTATTGCAATGCAGTGTCACATCTCCAAGGAGGCGCTTTTGAGAGGGGTTCAAAAATGAGATTCATACTGTCAAAGATGAAATCACAAATTCAGTTAAAGATCTTTTCTTTTTTAAAAGAACGATTTAAGTTTTATTTATTATTATCATTATTATTTAATTTGCTCTAGTCATGTGTGCTCACCAGAGAGAGACAGAGAAAGTGAGAAAGCAAGCTTCCAAGTCCAGGACTCGAACTGTAGACAGCCATGAGGGAGTCCAGCACCTTAATCACCACACAACCTGCTGGCCATCAGTTAAAAGACCTTAATTCCCTTTTGAGATTCTAGAATCAGGCAATACCTCATTCTGTAAAATAAAATGAACATTCCCATGAGTTGAACAGATAGTCGGTTAGACAGAAAATTCCTGAGGGAAAGCAGAAATAGAAAACAAAGAGTTACTTTCCTTATAAAATTTAAAGCAGAGAGCGTTTCCTTACTGTGCCAGATAAGACCAGTCTGTTTGAGGATTTGGCTATTATCTCTTTCTTCTGATATCTCAGAAAGGTCAGATAAACATACTGGTCTTGGGATTGGCAGGTGCCGTGGCAGGTGAGGCTTGGTATGAGTCGTGGACCTGGTGGCTTGCTTTCTCATTTTTCATCTTTCTCTCTCTCTGGTCAAATTAAAAAATAATAATAAGTAAAATAATTCTTTAAAAAAAAATCTTGGTCTTGATGATGTGGAAACTTCAGCATAAGTAACTCCATTTTGGTTTGGTCTATTGAACCTAATGCAGGAGAACCCAAATCAATGGTTTCCTATGAATTTTTTTAATCAATACTTTAAAAACCACTGTTGTGGGACTAGCAGATGGTGTAATGGCTACGTCGCTGGACTCCCACGTAGTCGACTATGGCTTGAGTCCCGGACCCGGGGGCTTAAAATTAATGCCTCTGGGGGGGGGTTTCTCGCTTCCTGTCTCTCTCTGTCTTTATGGTGAGTACATACGCCTTATAGCAAAAACCTCTCCAAAAAAAAAAAGAGCAAAAAATAAAACCCAAACAAACCACTGTTGTTGTTTTGTTTTTAGATGATTCAGTATCTCTGGCATGATGACCAGGATTTGTATTTCATGTGTCCCAGGTGGTTTCCTAAGATGTTGAAAACACTCATACAGATGTTGAAATGAATGGAATTTTTGCCAATATGAGGATGTTTCACTTGAATGGAACAGACCTGTTGTAAGACCTTGTAGTACCTTGATCTCATTCAGGTTACCTGTATACGTCAATGAAAGGAAAATATTTCAGTTTCTCTTGTTAAAGAAAGTTGTTTTAGGAATAGTAGAGTGGCTAAAAAAGAATGATAAATAATTAAAAAATGATAGTTAAGTAATAGATTAGGTTTACTAAATTCAATACATTTTTGGAAAAAAACTGAGTACTTAAAAAATATTTATATTTAAAAAATAATTATTTATTTAATTTATTAATTAAGTATTATTATTTAGTTTGACCAGAGAGAGACATAGACAGAGAGGGAAACTGAGAAAGCAAGCCGCCAGGTCTGGGACTTGAGCTGTGGTTGGTCATGTTGGAATTCAGCACCATCTGCCAGCTCCTGAAATTGAATATATTAAAGTTGCAAAATGTGTTGTTTACGTAACATTTTTTATCAGTTGATAAAGTTAATGGAAATTGTTTTCTAAAATAGGACCTGGGAAATTTAAACACAATGCCATTATTTTTTCTTAAATATTTTTGTTGTTGTTTTTGCTTATATGAAATTGGTGTATATTCACAGTAAGAATTTAGACCAGGATTCAGACACTGGCCCAGCCTTCGTGCAGGGGTCTGAGAGGCTGACCCACATGGGAAGGTTTCTGGCCTGTGTCTGGAGATCTCCTTGAACATGTCAGATGATTGCCTGCCCATGATCGGGGGCTGAGGCTGAGGGTGATGCCATGTCAAGACCCTGTGAGGGCACCTGCTTCCTATCTCGGTTTCTTTGGCTCATGGAAAAATGAAAAAAGGAAACTGCAAAGAGGGAAAAAATAAAAGAAAGGGAAAAAAAAAGGAATGCAAAGCAAAGGGAGTACAAAAATCTATTCAAGATGTTAAT